GACGATGACGATGACGATGACGATGACGATGACGATGACGATGACGATGACGATGACGATGACGATGACGATGACGATGATGATGATGATGATGATGATGATGATGATGATGATGGTTCAGTTGCAGGCCTCGTTCAAACAAAGTGATTTGCTTGTTTGCTGACTGTTACAGGTAAGGACAAACTCAATGTAAACTCTTTGGGGAGGATCGAACTTCTCAACTCGGATTTGCGCCATGGCCTTCACTCACCCACGGTGTGCCGGTGCCAACAAAACACCACGGCCCCGAAAAACAGCAGCTAAACCGTAATGAGGCCAAATACCAAACACCGCGAAGCCCGCCAGCAACAACACACCAAATTCCTCAAAAATGGTTGGGCCTTTTTCTGTGGCCGTGGGCCTAGCCCCGCCCCCGGAAACTTGCTGAAGACTTTGGCCAGGTTCCAGTCTCGCTCCCAAACCCGTCGAAAGAAAGTGAACGTCACTCTGCAGGAGCGGCCGCTTCTGCTCACCTCGGAGCTGCGCAGCGCAGATCATCATCTATACAAGCCGAATAGGAGGAATCTTAGCCATACTGATACTCCAGGGCTCCAAGTACCTTCTGAGTTGTTTGAGGTGGGTGCCAGGAGGGTCCAGTCATACATTCTGAGGAGGTACGACTGGATCCCTAGGGATAGGCTTTCTACCCTGCGGCCCTACTTGTTGCAGTATTCTGCATGAAGGTGAGACTATAACGGCTTTGCTTCACGCACCGGGAGGGGCGAGCAACTCCGCAAAGCATGTGGATACCCTCAGTACCCTTTGCAATGCGATGTTCATCGATTCTGCGACGGACCAGGTGCGGATGTGTGCCTTCCCCTTCGTGAACAATCAGATCGCCACCGAGCCGCAGGTCAACCCACAACCAACAATCCCTGTTTCAGGCTGACGCTGCTCACGCCAAGTGGCAAAGGTTCCGGATGGGTGGCAATTTCTGCCCAAGCTGAGGATTGAATGCTCCGAAGGTCAATTCAACTTCTTTTGGAAGATCCGGATGACTTTCAGGATCGACCAAGGAAAAGCGGAGTTTCATTTGGCGGCACCAATGCCGCACCTTCCATTCACTTCCCAAGACAGAGAAGAGTTTCTTCGCGACGTCCTGGGTCTTGTGAAAGTGCCGAGAAAATTGCGTCAACACATCCAGGCTGGGTCGCAGTTCCTGAAAGTCCTTCAGGCTCAGTAGCCCTTGGGTTTTGCGTGGGTCTCTTCCATGAAACAAGATGCATCCCAACCGCACGGTCACCTTAGCTCTGCTGTGAGGAGAAGATCTACCCAATCAAAACCGTCATGAGATGACATGCAGTACTGGCCTTCCATTTGCACCCCAATTATATATACAATGAAAGACAATTTTTCCAAAAAAAGACAACTACAGTGATTTCAGAGTGGATGACACAAACGCCAAGTGTCTTTTAGATGGGGTCCAAGGTGAACCACTCACATTGGGGCTTTGTGCCATCTACCCTGTATCCACTATCACTGACGCGAGTCTAGGTGGCTTTCGAGACTTCTCGTGACGCATCCTCCGGATCGACTTCTCGGATCATGTCCATCACAGAAGTGCAATCTTCTCCGACGCGAATCCTTCGGCGGTCGCTGTCGCGACCATGGAAGCGAGAAACAGTGCTGTCGCGATTGCTTGTCCCGCTTTGCAAAGCACAAGGCTCGAAGTATGGCCGAGATGGAAAGGGTGCGAAGGTGCAAAGGCACTTTTGCATGTTGGTCTTCACAAAGGTCAAGGATTTCAGCTGGTCCACCTCGTTGCGAAGGTCAGCGGTCAAAGGAAAGACTTGGTGTTCACCCAACTTGCGGGAGAATCCCACGATCTGACACAGGATTTCGTGGTTCATCAGCCGAGTGAGTATATGGTCATTTCTCGAATTTTCTCGAGAAACCAAAAAGATGCGTCGTGAGTCGTGAAGGGTACCCATTTCACGTTGGTTCGGCTGCTGGTCGCCATGTCCCACAGAGCGTCACAGAGCGCGCATGGTAAAAGGGTAAGTCATGGAGGGAAGATCCCAAAGGCAAATGTCACGTGAACATGAAAGACACTGGCCCGAGCTTGCTTGGGAGACATCCATGGTGTTTTGGAAGGTTCAAGGTAGGATTTCATCCATCTAGAGTTGGAACGATTCGCGCCCTGTACATTTCAGGAAGCTGGTTTGTCCGGTAAGTTTCTGCTCGTGAAAGAGGATGGAACCAAAATTGCCAGGAATGCAACACACCACACCATCAATTCTTGTATTTTAACAACAGAATCACCAACCCCTGCCTTCCAGTTACCTCTCAATGAACAAAAGGCAGGGAATCCCGGACGTGAAACTATCTTGCAAAGAACGGCAACGCTCGAACACTTTTGCACTCCCAAGCCACAGGGTGGGCAAGGACCAAGTGAAGTGTCTTCCTGCCAGGTGGTTCTCTCCCCCTTCCCTGCTCATGGCGGAGTTCCGCCTTCTCGACCTTGGATTTGCTGTAATGACAAATCTTCCCGCCATCTGATCCACCCACAGCAAAAAGCAAACACATCACCTGATCAAAACCAGGTGACCTCATGAACAATTCGTTCAAGTGCCCCATCTGTTGCCTTGGCTTCGGTATGCGCCGGCGTAATAACGTCCTTGCTACTAGCTTCGTGTTACGTTCGTAGCGATGGCCTCCAATCTAGCTTCTTGGATCAATGGATTTGCTGTCCATCCGAGAAAAAGTACCAAGTGATTCACTGATGCTTTGGGGGCCCTTCACCCGGTTCCACCGGGAAAAGAAAACATATCCACCAGACCTCCGCCAAGTACAGGGATCCCACCCGACCTCTGGAGGGAACGGAAAGAGGAGCAACGAATGTGTAGCACCCTTAGAGACCTCTCAAAAGGCCAGCACAGAATGTGTAGCAGAACAAAAGATCTCATATTTGGATCGAAACAACATCATTAAAGAAACTTTTGGGCGAAAGAGGGCAAGTTACTGTTGCCACGATAAAGGCCTCTTTGGGGATGCGTCCTTGAAACTGTCCATCTGCGTAGTTGGTATGAGTATCGATGGCATCCACGCCTGGCAACTGCCTCAAGCGGTTGAGATTCTCCTGGTTGCGCCCCACCCAACCGCGACAAGCTCCAGGATTGATGGATATGCCTATTGTGCGATTGGCTGCTTCAGCAACGCTTCGCTGCCACTCTGGCTGATGTTGGCAATCATGCGCGTGCCAGGTCGGAGACAAAGATCCCACGCGATACCAAGCATCCCAAGCCCACACCCTCGCTTGATGCCCTCGCCCTCGTCCGCGGCCTTTTCGTCCACCCCCATAGCAAGCGGCGGTGGTGAAGGTGTATTTGGAGCTGTTTGAATAGCCTGGGAACTCTTGCTGACACTGTAGGCGGCCATGACATTCAGGACAAACGGCTTGGCAGGTCTCGCAAAGAGGGATGAAATTAATTATACAAGCATCTTCTTCACCTGGGATCCCCCCGGAACGGACATCATGCGGAACGGATGGCGAAAGATCAAAGATCGGCTTGGGCGCCCATGTTTCTTCTTTTTGGTTCGTGTAGTAAAAAAGGGGCCGTATATACCTTGCAAAAGCCAGACTTCTGATGTCCTTAGAGACAAAATCCTTGTGCTATTGTTGACCCTGAGAGTCCAGTCATGACTCATTTCTCCCCCATGGTAGTAGTGGATGGATTGACTACCAGGTGGAGTCAAATGAACCATTGGAAGTTCTGGGTGAAGAAAAAAAAAGTCTAAAACTGCTTTGAAGTCTGATGCTAAACAAAACCGCAGGAAGGATGCGTATTCTATAGAAGCTACAACTCTTTTGAGCTACAAACCAGGCCACAAGTAGCTTTCCACCTCGCAGATCTTGCACAAGTCTGGTGCCAGTAACAATCCTGGTGGCAGTAGCTCCAAGTGGTGGAGCTACTTGCATCACTCATTGCTTTTGGCTGAAGTGCGAGAACAGCGAGATGTGACACTTTCGCATCTCATGAGCATCATAACATGAATCATAACTCATGACTCTCAAAGAATGTCACTAAATGTTGGACAATGGTTCTTTTTTCAGTGCTGAGTTTGGCTTCGCATGGAGCTGCTTGTTTGAGAAGAACTTTCAGTCCATGCTGCATCTGGTTGCATATGTTTGTCCGTCATCCTGATAGACGTGCGCTTGTGGCCAATGCAGCCAGGCACGTCTTTAAGCCAAAATCATGTTCGACTGAATGCCTTCCCACGGCAGTCGGGTTGTCACAAGCCATGGCAGTCATCCCCCTTTCCAATGCTCTGCAGAACGAGCAATGTTTTGAATAGCTGGGAACAGGCAAGATCATAGGACACAAATGGTTTCCTAGACCTTCAAGCAAGGCAAGTGTAGATGCAAGTGGTGTTTCAAGAAAGTCAGATTCCTTGAATGCACTGGGCAGGAGATGATACGAAATGGCGACAGCACGCCAAAGACTGCGCAAATTCTGAGCACGGATTGTTCTCAAAGCCTCCCTGTCGAGGCAAATCCTACTCTAGGACAACTCCCAATATACACAAACCACACCTATTTCCAAGTTGCTCATGAAGATGTACTACCCTGCCCACACACGTACCAAATCTCGATGACCTGTTTGGGTAAATCGACTATGATGTCCCTTCTTTGATCGCTTTTTCATTGGCTGCCCCTCTTGGTCACCAAGGACTCCACAAGGACAGAAACAAAACCCCAAACAAGCACGTCTCCCTCCCCCGCCGCTGGATCGGAGTGCTCTCCTTTTGTTTCGGCGGCGGAACCGCGTGCGGCGGAGCAGTTCCGGAGAAGGCACCTTCCGTGGCAGCTCGGTGCGGTGCAGGAAGCTGGCCAAGCTGCAAAGATCAAAATGATCGGCACCCAGAGCCACCAAGAAGCCGCCGACCTGAGGACGTCGATGGGCGAAGCTTGGTCGGAGGCCCCATACACCGCGTCTGGGTGTCGGATAGACGGAGGGGGTGTGGGGGCGTAGCGTTCGGCACCGAAACGTGGTACGTCGTGTGCCTCGTTCGATGATGAGAATAGCTCGAGAGAACAACGTCCATGAGCCTTGCTGCACAGCGTGCACAGCGTAGTCCATGTGTCTGGGTGACAATTCTGAAAAGAATGGAGCTGGGTTTCAAACATGGCCATTTCAAAAACAGTAGGTTGGAGACCATCGCTCTTAGGTTGGAGGCCATCGCCTCATTCGCATGAAATCACCTGGTGCAGAGCTTCATAAGAGTTCATGGAGGGTCCAACGGCCTCTCCATGCCTACGAGTGCTACGGCCTCTCCATGTTCACTGGAGAAACCAGGCCACCAAAGCAGCTTGCTCTGTATCCACCCACGAGCTGACACTACGTGACGTATGGACACTTAGACAATGGCACAGAGAAACACTCTTTTCACCCTGCGGGGTTCTGGTTTTGAACATGGGCCTGCTCAAGGTCACATGGTGAACTTCAAGCGGGTGACCTGAGTGACCTGGTATGGTCACACCACCAACCAACCCAAATATGGTGCAACTTCCTATCAACACAGGGGTCATATGGGCTCTAGGCTCGAGGTATATATTATTGTAATATATGGTAATACTATATAATTGTATATTATATTATCTTCACAGTGCACAATAAGTAAGGACTTTCTTAGATCCTCTCAAACGCGGATGCATGTTTCCAGGGTCGTGTAAATGCGATATACGAATATACGACTTAAAGGCTCCGTCCCAAAGATTCGGGACTCCGAGCCCCAGTCATTTCACCTGCTATGCGAGCCCCCCGCGAACTCTCTGGTAGCTTGTATCTGTACACTCCAAAGTCGTCCAAAAAACAGCCACCAAACCGATGTGGTGAGTGAAACCGTCCCCGCCCCGTTCTCCGTTTCTTCTCGTTCTTGGTCTGCTTCTGACCGCGGAGACGAGGTGCCGTCCAGGCGCTGGGCTTTTGCAAGTCGCCCAGGAAGTGATGCCTCACAGCGAGGAAAAGCGGTGGGCGGCGGGCAGGTAGGAGCCCAGTGGTTCTGGGGGGCAGGTAGGGCGGCAGGGACACACTGGCGCCTGCCTTGCCGAAATCATCGCTGTCGACATATGCAAGGACGACAGACTTCAGCAGGGGCGGAACGCAACTCTTTCGCAGCTGCACTGCGGTTTCTCAGCTTGCTTTATAGAATCTGTTCGCAAAGCCAAGCCGTTGCTTAGATGAAACCTTGTGTCAAGCAAGCAAACATCATGGTGTCTTGTTCCAACTACGCGAGTGCTTGTATGCTGTACGTCCGCGTTTACTCAGCTCTTTTCGAACGGAACACAAAGATCCTTCTTGTCTGACCTGTCAGGCTTCGAGTTCATGGAGTATTCCTATATCTCTTTGGTGGCACAGAATTAGTCTAAGCGATCCAGAAGAGTCCTCGTTGTTCCAGTGTTCTTGACGCGGTTCTCTGGAGCCGGTGTTTTTCTGAATGTACCAAGAGGAGCCTAGGAGTTGTTCTTTTGTTCCCCAGAGACTGACAACTCACCAAGACCTTCCTATCTAATCTATCTTCATCTCAAGATGGCTGACCAGAACATCTTCTACTGAACAACAGCTCACTGGTGTGACCGACACAAAATGGCCCTTGGGCAGCATGGTGCGACCGGTTGGAAACTTCACCCAGGGTGCGGTGGATTGGTCTCTTGCTAATTAGTAGAGAAGCTTGCACCAAACTGTTCAGAGAAGCCCGTTCGCCTTCTGTCCAATGTCGAAACTTGTCGAGCTGGTTTCGTCGTCTAAAAGCCAAAAAGTAACACCCGTCAGAGCAATGGCCTCCAACCTACAGTAGCGATGGCCAACTGATGTCTCTGATTCAAAGCAGTAAATCCGGTCGACCCGACTCCCAGACTTCTTCTCCCAGGTGCAGCTGCACCGCCAGCCGCCGAAGCTGCCGCAGCTGCAAACAGTTCATGGGCGACAAACGGGCCTGGACAGTCCCGCGAGGTCCCGCTGAAAAAGTCTGCACGCTGGAGCTGCTACTGTCGATCTGTACTGCAAGGATATTCATAGATAGACTCAAGCATACTAAGCAGCTAACTAGTGCAGAACTCCTCCTTTTGGAAGAGTTTTTGTATTTTCTGGGGACATGAAATATGGGCATATGTTTACACGTACAATAGAAACAGCTGTGCCAGAAGCTTGCTGGAGTTTCTGCCACCAAGCCCCGTACTCCGTACTCCGCCGATCGTGCGAGCTCGGCTGCCTCGTAGCAGCTGGCATAGGTCTCCAGGTCCTCGACCACTGCCTTTGCCTTGGAAATGGCTGTGATCGAAGGACCTATTCATCTAAGGACCTACCACTGCTTTGGAAATGGCTCTCCAGAAAGTATGTGTACACTGCTGCGACAGATCTGTGGTTGGAAGTGAGGAAACACCTGGTGGTGAAGGAGGTTTTTCGGCGGTGTTTTGGTCTGTTTCAGATCGGAGACTGATGTGTAGAACGCAGTAGTAACAATTAAGCTACTAGTAACAAGTGCCACGCTAGTAGTAACAGGTGCCTTACTAGTAGTAACAAGAAGCTATTAGTAACAATTAAGCGTGGCCTGACCTAGCCTGACCCGACCGGTTGACCAGAGGTCTGTCGAACTGGATCAAGTCGTTGAACCCCCGGGATCTCCGAAACTGTCTGGTGGTCCCCGAGATCATTTCTTGGACTCTGCAGGCGAGCATACCAAGCCAGCCGTCACATCAATGCCAGACGTCAAAGTAGTCATAAAGCGATGGGTTTGATGAAGGCTCTTGCCCCCGCGGCAGAAATACCTCCTATCTTTCGAACCATCCTCTCGCACACGCTTTCTGATGCACCGTCGGCATAAAGCTTGATAAACTCCCCCATGGCCTGATGAACTGCCCACTGGGACCAGGCCTGTTGCAGCTGCAAGCACACTGAATTCGCATCGCCGATGGCCTGACTAGTGTAAGGTGTCGATGGATGGCGATGAATGGCGGTTCATCAACTCGACCCAGATGCAACCCGTTCGGGCCCGAATACATGGAAGGGTCGGACCCGAATCCTCTGGAGGGGTCTGGGGTCACAAATCCCAAACCACAAAGCTGGCCATGGCACCGACTGGGTGCATCTAGGTGGGCTCATCCGTATGTCCGACGTGTCATGCGGGAGGCCTGCTGTCTCGGAGTCTCGGAAGGGGTGAACAACATAGAAGAACTTCTTTATATATAGTATCCAAATGGCAAAGTACCCCTTAGGGTAATTCTGAAAGTTGTCTGTTTAGGGATCTGATTCTCCGTACTGACAAGACTATGCACGCTGTTCCCCATTATGTGTACTGAGGCAGCCCCACGAAGCACAGGTTCGCCCGTCGCAAGCTCCTTCACCTTGAAGCTACTGGTCACAAGGACGCTATGCTCGGTGGAGCATTGCGTTTGTAGGCCATCGCTACGAACGGAGCAAGAAGCTACTAGTGAAAACGAGGCAGCCATGAACGCGTTTGATGTCTAGGCTGAAGGTCATCCCAATGAAGCAACTAAAGTTCAACAAAATCAGGGACTGGTCGTCGTCCCCAACTTCAATTCGGCCAACGTGGCCAAAAGCACTGTGCCCACTGTGTTTGAGCTATGCTCGGTGCAAGGATGCTGGCAACTTCTGGGAGCTGCGGCTTCGCTTCACCCAAAGTGGGTGAGTGTTTTCAGCCACTCATTCTCATTGCACCGGTTCGGCTCCCGATCCGGACTTCCATACAAAGCACAGCACACCTCCTGCCCGCGCTCTGGCGCGGCTGGCCGCACGGGCACAGCCGGCACAGCCGGCGCAGCGTGGAGCTCACGAAGCTTCCAAAGTGGAATGGTGAACCAATAGAACCAAAGGGGCTTCCATTGCGAACCAGCTCCCGAACCAGCTCCGAGCTTGCTTCCAATTGATTGGTCGGAGCTCTTCGCCGCACTTCTGACTGATGGCTGACCGCTCACATCGGAGGAGTGGGTGGGTGGGGACTGACTATGGAG